TCTTTTTTGGTGTGTGCGTAGGTTTTGCAAAGCCTGTAAAATGCTAGAGTTTCCATTTTGGACATGTTTCAAAAACTGAAAAACTTGAGGAACTCTGAATAACGTATTTGAAGAGTAAATTATAAAGGTTCCATTCATAGGAAATGGTTGCTTCAATTTATCTCAGTACTATGTGCGACCTACACATACATTGTTAAAAGGCATTACACATTTTTTGAATATTATGGGACATCGGATGATTTCTTTTTAATTCTTTCTAAATTTTCTTTTCATATTGATCTTTGGCATCTGCTTCTCACTCTGATTTACTTCATTTGTGATACATGTGTCTGTTTTATTAAAATGAAATATAGTTTAAGAATTCTAATTTATGCTACATGTGTTGCCAGTCCAAGAAAAGAGGACTTTCATTGGATGAGAAACGTGAGAAAATGCTGCAAATTTTTTATGACTCACAGGACTTCTTCCTTGTAAGTACTTTTCACTTGTTTACTCCAGCAACTTGAGTAGTTATTATTGAAATATTCTTCTGATTGTAATACTTCTGTGATGCGTATTCTGTTCTCAAATTTCTAGTTCTCTATTTCTAATGTTCATGGTAGCAAATTACTGAAGGCAAATTAGGCTTGTAGTTCTCTAACAGTCCTTCCTAATTCACGTCCTTTTTTAAAGAACTACTTTCATAATTCCTTACGCCGCTTTTGGCTCCATTTTGTGCACCATATAAAAATTAAGAGGAAATACTCTGTTTTAGGTCTTCATACCAGCCTGTTGAGTGTGCACATATTACTCAATTTATGAACAATACTGAGCTAAAGGTCTAGCCTTTTTGTGGTCTTGGTATAAGCCTGTTGTGCATATGCCATCTCATGGAAAATCCTGTGCCAACGGTGTTTTTGGTTATTGGAAAGGTTTTGGATAAGTGGAGGGCTATGCTTCGTCCTTGCTTCATGGTGAACTATTTTCTAGTTTCTCTAACATTATAATACTATGCTGAATGCTAACTGTAGCTGAGTTTCTGGCAATATGTTATTCTAATATTCCATATTCCATATGTTCTGATTTTAAACGTGACAGAAGATTTGCGGAGTATTTTGTAGCTTCCACACGCCCTTCCTATAGTATATTTCTTAATTTAATAGTAATTGACAGAAGTTTAAAATATAAGATGTGGTTGTCACCGTTGCCTTAGTCTGCAACTTTGAGTTGACGTCTCTCTTGCTTTTTAAGTGGTACGAACAGCTTTCTTTTCATCTTGCTGCTTTTATAATTTCATCTCTATCTTTACAGTGCATGTTTGAGCATCATTTATTTATCATGTGTCATCTTAAAAAAGATCATTCAATGTTCCTGGTGTTTCATTTAGCTCAAGGAACTTGAGAAGTTGGGCCCAAAGAAAGGTGTAATCAGCCAGTCAGTAAAAGATGTTGTTCAAAGTCTAGTGGATGATGACCTTGTTTTCAAAGACAAGATAGGAACTTCTGTGAGTAAGCTTGTTCAAATGTGATCAGACACATGTTTCCAAGACCATTCAGCTAAGCCTGATTGAGTTTTGCATTAACATAATGTTTTTCCAACATTTAGTTTGTCCACAGAGGTCTCCTGTTTTGAATGTCATTGCACTTGAACTTTCAGGTATATTTTTGGAGTCTTCCTAGCTGTGCTGGTAACCAGGTGATCTAATTATTCACTTCTTATCCTGAAATTCATAGGGTTTAAATTTATTTTGATGTTGATCTTGTCTTATCTGATTTAATTTTCCTACAGCTAAGAAACATTCATAGGAAGCTAGACTCTGATCTCGGAGGTAGTAAAAAACGATATGAAGAACTTGTTGAACAATGCAACACTTTGAAGAAGGGGAGAGAGGAATCTGTAAGTTAATTTCTCTGTCCTCCATTCTCATTCTTCATAAAACTGGAACTAAGGTTTTCTATGTAGCCTTTCCAATGACTTGAAGTTTCTTCTCTGTGTTAGGATGAACGAGAGGAGGCCCTTGATGAGCTTAAAGCTATTGAAGCAAAATATAATGAGCTAAAGGTTGAATAGCATGATTTCCTTCCTCAGAGATGCTTCAATTTTATTTTCCTTTTTCATTTTCTTGCTTTTCTTTTTTCTTTTGCTTTCCATTTTTTCTTTTCCTTTAATTTGTTTGGCATTGAAAATTGACTGTGGTCCTTGATTCTACTTTCAGGATGAAATAGGCCACTATGCTGAGAATGATCCAGCTATCTTTGAAGCAATGAGTAAAGAGTTTCTTCCTTTATCACTCTTTAACTTTTTTATCTACCCAATGACATCCTCTTCATCAGGGAATATCTTTCAACTTCAGTGTTAGGAAATTTCAGTCTGATACATTCTTATTTTTTTATTTTTTTCTTGTATTTATGCTTGCAGAGAAAGCTATTGAAGTAGCACATGCATCAGCTAACAGATGGACAGGTCTCCCTTCATAATCCAATGTTCTTTCCCTTTTGAATTGGTTGAAGAGCGAGGTTCATGACTTTTTTCTCTCTCTTCTAAATCATGTGTTATCAATTCACAGACAACATTTTCACACTGCGCCAATGGTGTTCAAACAATTTTCCCCAGGCCAAAGAGCAACTCGAGCACCTTTACAGTGAGGTCTATAACTTACACTATTTGAGCTCTAGTTACAGTAGAGTGATCTAAAAATGTTATCATTACAGAATAATGAGAATGTATACTTCCTGATCAGGAATAACAAATAAAAGTGTGACAAGATTAATCATTTAAGACTGCTTCATTTATTTGTTAGCAAGTCCTTGTTGACAGTTTTTTTTCCCTCGTTTTTGTTATGTTGGACAACAGGTTGGAATAACAGATGATTTCGACTATTTGGAGTTACCTGCTGCGGTTCCTGGTGGCCCTGTTGAGGATCAGATGCCAGAAGGCCATCTTTAAGTCTGTAGCTTTGGCAATAAAGCTTTCCCCAGCACATATATAAACAAATTATGAGAAGAAAAGCAAAAGAAAAGCAGTTTCTTAATCCTTTTCACGTTCAACTTATCCTTATAAATCAAAGAGTTGCTTGTCCCTCTGTATACAAGATTTACATCTAGACATGGTTATTACTTTGGTTTTTTGTTATTTTTTGGTTCCCTAGGTATCTATTTTCACATCCTTTTATGGTAAGATAGCTCTCGTATAGTTACATGGCAGGAGTCAACTGCATTTGATGCACCATGACCTGACTACAAGAATATAAGTCCTGTGATGGGCAGATATGTAGTAGAAGTCCAAAGTTCTTCACAGACCTGCGATTCGTTGCGGCAAAAACCCGTCATAAATCATGTTTGGCTAAGCACAAAAAGGCTTATTAGACTCTCCAAAGGTGCTACTTTTGAGCTTAGCTAAAGATGGTGAACTTATTTTCCATAGAAGGAGAGAAAGAAGTGTGCAAACAGTGTTTGCTTCTTTTTCATATATTTCATGCTGGATGATTGAAAGAAAAGCGAAGAGATGTGCAATATCCTACATTAGTTGGGGATAGAAGATGGAAGCTAGAAGAGCATATAAAATGGTATATCTTATATCATTTGAATGAGATAGAGAAGGAAATTCAAATGAGTTCGTTATTTGAGACAAAAATGTAAACGAGTTTAGTTATCCAAGATTTAAAATTGAGTTCAAGTCCTAGGGGCACACGAGTTTTCCTCGGTCAAATTTTTTTTGGATAAAATGTACATTTTGAAATTTTAGCCAAGTCAAATGGACCATTTCGAGGAGACAACTAATTTGGCTTATTGACAAAGGTTTCTTCCAAATATACGTATTTGTGTATCAACTTTGTATGGGTTTTCTCACATGCATCAAAAGCAAAGGCCAACATCATTATAATTGGTAAATGAGTGATGAAAAAAGTAAATGCAACTCTTGTAAATGTTTGAAGTTAAAACGAACAATTACAATATACGTACAGAAATCGATTTGACATAACACGTGCAGATCACACACAGCACATGAGATGTAGTTTTATTTTTTCACTATAAAACTCACATCAGCCCACTTCATGTGAGTTTTCTGTTTTTCTTCTGTAAAAGCAGAATATTTGTAAAACGAAAGTCATTGAGCAATTGGGTTGAACCAAATCCAAACTCGATTTTCATTCTTTGTGTTATTTGAAAAGTTCAAGTTAACCTAAAACTAATTTGGTAAAAAAATTCGTAGTTATTTTGGGAGTTGAATAGTTAAATTTGGATTCTACACTGCACGTTATTAACCTGTAAGTAGTGTGTGAAAAATTCTCATCCCAAGCCACATTGCCTTTAACTCTATTTTGAGTTCTTATTTTAAATACATTTTATCGCCCTGCTTTTATTCCCTTTTATACACTTAAAATAGAAAATGTAGAGAGACCTTTAAGAGTAAGTTGATATGATTTTTACTTTTACTTCTTATAATTTTTTTTTCCCAGAATGCTATCTTAATTTTTATTTGAAAATTAATATTTTTGAACACTTCTATTCCAAAAGTACTTTTAAGAGAAGTCACATTTAACGAACCTCTTTTAAAAACTCTTTTAACTACAAAAAGTACTTATCTAGAATTAGTCAAACTGCTCAAAAGCTACTTTTAAATCTCAAAATCTCATTTTTAACTTTTCAAAAATTATGTCAAACGAGATGCAATCACCTTGTCCCCTTTGAATAGGGCTCATTATAGCAAGCTCGTTCGTCATATTATGGTTAATCATCCTCGATTGGAGGACTCATTTTACAAAATCAAATTACTTCTATATCTTCATCTTAAATTTGAAGGGTATCTTAAATTCGAAGGGTAAATATCTTCATATATTTTCGTGATTCCACATGATCAACATGATTTCTTCCATCTTCTGTAATTGCCTCCACAATTGTAGATTATTCACCAACAGCTACACATAATCTTATTCAATTGCTCTTCAAGGTTATGTAGAAAATTATTCATACTCCGTAATGAAACAGTGTATAGTTCTGGGAAATTTTCTTTATGAGCATAGCAATATATTACAATATCTAAAGAAACTTTCTAAATTATAGCACACCATTATGTACATAGAGTGATCCCACAAATGAGAAAACAGCAGGCAGAATGATTCTCCACTCTAAATATGTATGGTAATCTCCTCCAACATTACCTGCAGAAAACTGAGACGATATGAAAATCCGTCTCTCCGTATCATCAACAATATCAGTTAAAATCGGCAAGTTTAGTATGCAGTAATAGATAGTACGTTTGTAGTGTGCATTGTTATAGACAACAATTTATGGTCGTGTTACATGTATATCACAATTTACATATTTGTTTACCAAGTGAGATTTGATTGGATCAAAATCACATCAACCAAATACAAGAAGATAAACTTCCCCACTTTCTTGACACCTCATTATCTGTAAAATATTATGTAAATGGGGATGTACAAGAAGCATTTTCCAACATTTTAACATCTGAACTTACCAGTTAAACAAGTGAATTCTGACTTGATTAGAGTGCCATCTCTGCTTGCAAAGCGGCAAGTTCATCTTCCTCTGTATGTTTCTGAGGAGCAGGGCGAGCAGGTACTCTGCCTTCTGGGACTTGAACTGGAGCAGCTGGGGCAGTGGTTGCAGGCTGAAGAAGCTGTTCCTCTAACTCTTCACCTTCTAATTCTTCAAGCTCGGCTTCCAATTCGTCCTGTCATAACGAAAAATTTATGATGTTAAATTGCTTATATAACTCGTGTACCAATGAGATAACTTTATTATAAATAAAACTTCAAACAAGTAGAATTAGACATGAGCAAAGAACCTCATCAAAATCAGCCGCTGCACCAATGGGGGTTGCCAAGGCTTCCTGTATCTGCTTCATGTTCTCTGTTTGTTCGTTTATCTCATCCATTGTCTTGTCAACATCATCAATGTTCCTATATATAAGCCATGTCAAAGTTGAGTTGCTAAAGAATATACGTATTGTGAAGATGACACAGATATAAACAGTATGCAATTCATCTATGCGATTCTGCCTGATTTACATCAAACAGAAAAACAACACAAAAGCATATACCAGGTGCTTGACAAAATTTCTTAAAACTTCATAGATTATAATAAATAGTTTAAACCGTCTACTTACGTTGCTTTCTGCATTGATTTCATTGCAGCTGCTCCACTTCTCAAAGCATCCACTGTTTCAGTAGTTGCTTTGGCACCTTCTAACATTATCATCTACAGAGAGACATTTACTCAGGCACGTTTTGATGGAAAAAGATCATTAAATAAGAAGCACCATTCAGTGCATGTGAACATAACAAATTGAGTCAACCTGATCATGGATGCGTAGTTGGAAATTTCCAAGCTGCTCAATTTGCTGTTCATAGAGTCTCTTCCGTTTCAAACACTGTATAGCCGCTGCACGATAATTTGGTTTGCATAAGTTTGTTCCAGATTTCTAAAAATAGCGCTTCTAAATATGTAAAGACTTGCAAATGGGACAAATAGATTCAACAGTACCATAACTAAAAGTCTAAAACTAAGGCAGAATTTGTTAAGTAAAAACAGCTACACTACACAAACAAATATTCGCTGTACTAAAATTAACAAACCCTACATTTTGTCTCAACATTGTTGAGTAACTTATGAGTAACTTATCAACAAGAGGTAAAAATCAACACGTAAGCCACAAACCACATAAAACTGCACCAGCCTAATACATTATCTTAATCAATTTGTTTCTTCTTGCTTAAGTGAAATTATTAGTGGAAGCAGGGGTTACTATAAGTGAAGCTGAATCTGCAGACAGGTTATTCTCAATCTTAAAAATGGGAGAATTATCGTGGATAACATCAACAAGTTAGCGTAGATATATGCTTATCTGTTTCCAAAGTTCCAAAATCACATAATCAGATGACTAATTAATGTACAGAATCATGTATCAAATTTCAAGGTGATCTAAGTGTATTGACCAATAAATGAACCAGATACGAGATAAGCTTATATGCAAAATGAAAATTTACGTCATCAAAGTGTAACAGTGCAGTGCTGATTCGCAGAGGCACAAAGCAGATATTTGTACCATTTGTCCTATAAGCAACTTCATATGAGAATATTGAACTCTAAAATAGGTAAAATATGAAGCAGAACAGCTAAAATTGGCCATCCTTAAAATTGGTCAGAAATCCAAAAGAACGTTGTGGTTATACCTCTTTTGTTTTTTGCTTTTGTGAATTCCTTGGCCTTCTCAACCTCAGAAGAAGCCTTCTTCAGTAGCACTTTTTCCTTCTTCTCGAGCATCTCAAGAGTCTACGCAAGGTGAAGAATGAAATATTGAATATGTAGATGTGTTGATTGTAGACAACACATAAAATAATAGAAACATAAATCTTACTATCAATTAATTTGGTGAATCCCTTACGGTCACTCCATTCCACCCCATGCTAAATTTCTCCTATCTATGGGAACATTCAATTAAATTAAATTAATTGGAACCACATTAGTCCATGTTAATGTCGGTCTAGCCTTTCTAACCAATTCTAAAACAGGATCGCATCACTTTTGATACAAGTGCTTCTTTAGGTCCACATAACACATGCCCCCGCACCTAAGACGTTTTTCCCTTAATTTAAGCTATTCCATCAGTTCGCGATATGTGAGATTGACGAATAAATGTTTCCACAAGAAAGAAAGAAAGAAAGAACAGTTAGTCACGGATGTTTATCTATGCATGGTAACGAAAAATCAAAATTGACACTACTTTGGATGATAACAGATAATAACATGAGAGCAGAAGAAAGTTCTCAATAGATCAAAGTTCTCGGAAAATTTTCACAGCTGCCATCATTACAGAGTTTTTCCCCTAAAAGATAGTGAACTGAATTGACAATAAGCAATCATTCAAAGAATTACACAGTTCTACCACTTCTGTAATTGCAGAGCATGTTAAAGACAATTTGCATGCCTAAACCAAAATAATAATTGAAAATTTTAGCCATATGGCCGTACAAATCCTATCTGATCCCTTGGAACATCGATATGCCAAATCAAATAGATGCATAATTTCATAATATATGTATATATATAAAATCAAAAGAAAAAAAAATGAAAAAAAGAACTATACCTCATTTAATTTGTCAAGAGTAGTGAGAGCATTAGACTCTTGTTTAGGTTTGCCAAAAATCCGAGGAAACATGTTTGATACGATTCCGATTAAATTCTGTATAAATCAAGACACTTCTCACCTAATAATCCTGTAAAATCACAATGAAATAAGACAATAATAATTAAAAGGAATTAAACACTTAAAACCTAGTTCTATATTTTGCTCCCCCTCGACAATTCCGAGAAACGGAGAAAAATACAATTTCATCCGGAAAAATAAACATATGTCACAATACCTCGAAACAGAGAAATAGAGTTTTCAATTCAGCTATTGGATCGATCAAATTGTTTGATGAAAATCGGATGCAGTTCCAATTAAGGGCTCGTGATTTTTGTGGTGGCGGTTCGGCCTCGGAGTAAAAATTTGGGTATTCTGAGTGAAGATTGGTCCCCACAATGTATAATACGTATTCCATGATATATATAATAATAATATAATATGAAAAATTTATAAAACGTAAGTAAGATAAGCTATAGACAGTAAAAGGCGTGCTTCTTTTATCAAGTTTTATCTTTTATCAAGTTTTATTTTAAATAACTTAATAAAATTATATAAATAATTATTGATGTTACTAAGCCTTGTTTGGTAACAATTAAAATCTAGATTTCAATTTAAGTCAAAGTTAATAATTAATTTTAATCACATATTTTATGGATCTCATAACTTTTCAACCACATATTTAATCTATTTTTATTAAAATCTACTAAAAATTTGATTTTAATTCATACCAAACAAGGGCTAAATATATTAGTAATTTTAAAATACAATAAAAATGTGTAAATATTAGTAATGGACTATATATAGCCAAGTCTAGAATTCGTATAGCTTGAAACTTGATATTGCCGTCTTCCCATATCTCATGCCCTTTAGAACTTGATTTAAAATATTGAATAATATTTTTTTCGATTTTTGTACTTAATAGTATAATATGAAAATTCTATAATATGATTTTATTCTAAAAATTGTATTGTCGAGCGTCTCTAAAAAATAATAAATTGATTTTCAATATTTCACTATTGTGGTACACCTAGCTCCAAAGATGAAAGCATCCAAAAATCTTAACGAACTTCATATGATATGGATGTTTTTAAGGTTAAGGGTTGTGGTTTCTCTCATCCCCCCCCCCCCCAGCCC